GCAGCCTCCTTCAAGCTCCCACCATCCTCTTCACGGTAACCATAGCCACTGGTCACCGTGGCCACTGGCCACTCTCCCCTGCCTTTGGACCTCTCTCCACCAGGTGGACTACTCTGATTTTCTGCCGTTCTACTTTAATCCTTGTTGGTTGGGTCCCACTATTTACTGCTGCCTCTGCTTTGGTTTGTTAGCCACAGAGGGCAACATAGCTGGTCGGCTCGTCCTGGTTGGGGCTCTCTGAGCCGCTGTTCTCAAGCTGATTACCCACTTCTGTCTGAGCTCAGGAACGGGCAAGAGGCAGGGTTCACCCTTGAAATGTTGCCAGTCCATTGCAGGAAAACACAGAGAAACAACCATTCATGCACACACTCACAGCTAAGTAGAATTTAGAGAAGCCAATTAACCTAACAGTCATGTTTTTGGAGTGCTGCTGAGTACATGGAGTACCCAGAGGGAACCCCCACATGCACTGCGAAAATGCAAACTCCACGCAGAAAGACCCCGAAACCTTCTTGCTGCAAGGCAGCATTGTTACCCACTGCGCCACGCTGCAGTGTCACAGTGATTTAATCTCTGGTGGATGTTTTGGTTCATTAGCCTGCCAGTGTCCACGTCTCATCATTATTATCATCAAAATGTTATGCTAGTATCAAAGTTTGTGCTCCACTCTCCACTATCGAGTTGTTTACTTGTTGAACTTCCTGGGTGAAATAATGACTGTAAGGTCAACTTTATCCTGTCCCTCTTAAAACAGAACAGCTCTGATCCACAACTTAGCATCATTTACCTGCTATTTGAATGGCCCATATTTGCAAGTAGCCCACTTCCTGCATCATTGTCTGCAGTAGTAAACCATTTCTAAAACCTTATAAGCTCTCTCTTACTAGATAGATGTGGAAGATAGATGTGTGACTGTTGCCTTGGCAAACTCAGTCCGTAAAATTCTTTATCGGTCTTAGAGTGGTGCCAATGCATTCTTCAAACCAGAAGACATGACTGTGTGAGAGCATGGTCTAATGGAATGATAAGGGAGAGCATTGGCACCTGCTGCTAACCCTTCAGTGAATTAAATTTACTGACAAATTTCACCCACTTTAACATAACTACAAAGGAACCCGAATACGGCAACATCAAGGAATCGATCTTGGTGACCTCACCAACTCTACAAAAGAATGTTTAAGGTCAAAGGGCTGATCTCACTTAAGCAAGTATAAGGAGGACAATTTTGAACATGAAGGAACTGCAGTGTTTTCCTTCATGCTCTTCTGGTATGTAGTGCAGTAGAATAGCTGCCAAACCGGTGCAGCATCTCCTATACCAGTTTGGGCTCAGTTAAACTTGTAACAGTGTCTGAAAACTAAGAAAGAAAAGAAAATATCTTTTTATACTCTTCATTTTTTTTTTCTGGTAAGTTTTCTATCAAAGCACAAAGTAACAAAATGTCTCAGTTTCCCAGGAATGAATTGGAGCCATTTGACTAATATTCTCCTCATTTTCAACTTTTTAAACCACACAACCTCTATAACTGACTGTCCTACACACATCATCATCACATAATCAAACATGAGAACATTTTGATGTCCTTCTGCAGCCAGAGATGAAAACCTGAGAGGTGTTTCATTAAACTGGAGGCTTAGCTGGTCAAGTCTGGCTTATTTAATTGTTATTTGGGTTTTATAAAGTGGGCTTGCTTTGAGTTTGACTTGGTTACTTTGGCAGTTTATCCAGGAAGCTTTTACTAGACTTAGCACTGACTAAGGTTCGATCCAAATACATCAAATTTGTAAGGACACTTAAACCATGTTGGAAGCGTGTCCGTGGTCATGATAATAAGTGGTTTCCAAAAACTGCTAGCAGTAAGGAAGGAGCTAGGATGAGGTAGACTTTGCTTCCTAGTGCCAATTTATTTAGCATAGGGACCTCCTGATGTCACTTGCCACCTCAAAGATCTGTACGGTTGCCCACAATCCTTTGTGTGAGAGGACTTTTATGCACAGCCCACCTCATGGGATCTCAGGGAGAGCAGCAGCCGTTTGCTACATTTTTGTAACTTTGCTTGTTTTCTGTAGTTTTGGCAGTGTCAGAGATGGCCTGTCTGTTTATAGAGGATGTGGAGGAGGGAGCTGCAGATTTAAGGAGAGCTCTTAGAGCACTCTGTTTCTTCAGGGTTTGAAATGACCCTTTTGTGATCCCTGATTATAGAAATTGTTACCAATTTTCTAGAGAGGGTTTAATTTGCTTGATTGCCTTAATTGTATCTCAGCTCTTATGCAGAACAGCTCTAATCATGTCATTACTTGAGACAGACACTTGAGCTTGAGCTTCTTTGCCAGTAGTGGGAAACCAGTTGGGGGGGGGGTCCTCCTCCAGGTTTTGTTACATAATCTCTTCTTTTTTTTGTCTGCAATTCAGTTAAAATTAATAGAGTTGTTTAAATGTGAAAACCTGGCCCAAATTTCACGTGCCTGAATCTTTGTGTCGCCTTGATAAATGAAGATAGCGTGATTTTTCGAGTTGGTTCACACCTGTATCAAGATGTGTATCTTATCGTTGGTGTTTCTACCAGAGTTTAATGTGGGGGGAAAAAAAGTGTTAATTTATTTGACTGCAATGCTTATTTCATTTTTCAGTCCTAGCAAGATTCTCATTTACTAAAATTTGACTAAATCTGAATTAAAAGCAATTTATGGAACCAAACCGACTAAAACGAGACGAAATGGAAAAGAAGGATTTGACTAGATTTTCACTGAAAGACTTTAGGCTACCACTGGTTTAAATATCTTAATTGACAATGGTCAAATATCACATGCATATGTTCTTTGAACTACTATGTATAATGAAAAAGGTGGCAATTTAAACATTTAATCTGAGGAATGGTCTGCCATCCCAATTCCCTGGTTTTATTGATTGTGAAAGTATTTCTTTTTTATGTTTCTGAAGACCAGGTAGTTTTCTACCTCTGAAATGTGGTGCATCATTTTGCTGAAACCCAGTATTCGCACGTTGGCATGTGCCTAGGTTTATTTAAAAAAGGGAGTCCAAGTCTGGCCTTTCTTAATGAGTTTTTGGAAAAACCTACCAGATCATTTTGATCCTAAAACACCCAAGAGAAACACCCAACTGTTGGTCCTTCTCTCCCCTAACTGACTAACTAATCAAATAAACTAGCTACTGATATGAATGGACAAGAAAGGATTTCTCCCCCCCCCCACAATTTAGATTTTCAACCAACAATGCAATTGTGATTTTATGTATATTTTCCTTCCTTTGCCACAAGCATGTAGATATTTCCCTCTAGGGTTTCAGTTTGTTCATGACCTTGAGAGTTTGCTTGTCTGTAGTCTATTGTTGCAGGACTTTACTGTAACCTTTGCTTGGAAAAAATTCATACTTCTACTTGCATGTGTAAATCTGCATGCTAGCTTTTTCTTTTTTGTGGGAGCAAAACCATTTTGAGCATATTACTACCGCTTAAGTGGCTGGAGTGACAAAAAATTTGTCTCTTAGTCTTGTTAAATGTAGCGAGAACAAAAGTGAGTGTCTCTGCAATTTGTGTTTTGATAAATTGTACTTATATTATTGGGGGAGTGGTGGTGGATAGGGCATAGAGCCTAGAATCACAAGGTTCTGAGTTCGAGCCCCACTCCCACTGATTGCCACTCTGGTTCCTTGAGCAAAGACCCTTAACCCCACACTGCTCCCTGGGTGCCACACAATGGCAGCCCATTGCGTCCCAAGGGGATGGGTTAACTGCAGAAGGTTAATTTCGTTGCTCTGTACCTGTGACAGTGTAATAACAATAAAAAAAAGCTAGAAATTGCAAATGCAATCAATCGCCCAGCCCCAGACCTAAATTAGATTCACTGAATAATCAAAAAACAACTGCCAAGGAACTGGAAAAAGCACTGAATGAGCCCCCATTTGTTACCAACTACGCTCAAATTGGCATCAAGGAGAAGAGACAAAGTTTAACCTTCCTTAATTAGTTTTTTTCACATAGAAAAAGTTACATCTCAGATAAACTTACTCACTAATTTATACTGTTAGTGGGTATGAGGGATGAAAATGGCTTCTTAGCAGAAAAGAAGGACCCCCCAGGAAATGGCTTTCTGTTACTTCTACATCTCAGGTAAAGATAGACCATGAACAATCTAACCAAGACGAACAACAAAAGGCTTATTCAATAATTACATGGTATGTCTTTAGAAGTTTCTGGCTTGAAATGTCTGCCTATTATTTGAAAGGATTGCCAAAGAAGAATCGTTTTGTTTTGTAAAAGCAGCATCTAAAAATTAACCAACGTCAGCACATTCAGAAGAAGAAAATGCTCTTAGAACAGCAGAGGTCAGAGCAAAGTGGAGATGTCTGATTTTATTGCACAAAGGTGGAGAAAAACCTACAAAACAAGTCAACATAAACGTCTATTAACAACTTGCAAGCACAGGGCTGGAGGCCTGATGGGTTCAGCAAGGTATCATATTGTCACTAAACACCATTAAACCCTTTCTCATGTATAATTGGTTAAATATAAGTTATTTAACAGCTGAAGCTGAACTATGTTGGGCTCTTAAACTCAATTATAATCTCAAAGACACAACTAACACAAAGAGCAGTATTTAGTAAAATAACCTGTTTTGTAATCGCCAGATCTCAGTCTGATATTTATGCTGCGGCAATTAGATGCAAGTTTTAGTAAACTGAACATTTTAAGAAGGGTTTTCTAAAAAAGTAATGAAAATGACAGAAACTGCTAGTTGAATTAAATTCTTCCATCTGTTTGATTTATTTAACTTCTGTAAAGCCAAACAGAGATCTCTTTTTGTCCAGGAGACTTAGATTTTACCATATTGTATGTTAGCAATGTACTGTTTTTGGTATGATTTTGAATAAAATTGTGGTCAGATTAGCAAAACTTAGCAAAAATATTTCTATTTCAGATTGAAAGAAACCGACAAATAGTTGTTTAATAAATTAAATAATTAAACTTCTTTCTCTTGAAGGTGGATGACATCCAAAATGGATGGTTAGAAGAACTGTATAAAGTAAGTTTAAACATTTCACATTTTTATTGGAAGTGTTACGTCTGTTTATATTTTCAGACATTTTTCCTATGTTGGTAAAAGAGACACATTTTTTGCTAATTCTGGCCCACTTTGTCTCTCTTCCAAAGATGGAAATATTTGCTGTAAGTCCTCTAATGAACTGTAATCTTCAGCCTTAAAGCATCGGCCAACCTCTTCACATGTCAGTGCTTTGTAAAGTGAGCTTAAACATTTCACTTTATTTGGTTTGAAACAGACAATCCAGAAATACAAGCCACAGTTCATCGCCCTGCACTTCCAGGAGGTGGGTGGAAAGGACTACATGGTCAACATGGACAAGGCAGAAAACTTCTTTTGGTAAAGAAAGCTTAAAAAAACTCCAGCATGATTAATAACTACGGTCAGCAATTAGCAGATTCGACTGTCTTACACCCAAACACCAATTTTCCTTACTCTTTCCAGTAACATAGAGTCCAGTGAGGAAATGAAAGAGTTCGACAGGAGTTGCATTTATGTGGACACCCGGTTCCAGGCAGAGGACAACTTTACGGTAAGAAACCTGAGTTCCAGGTATTTCCAGACTGTTTCCACAAGATGGCGCTCTCCTCCAAAAAAACAGCAAGAACAGGTGCAGGCATTCAATGCAGTCTGATCCCTGATGTAAATCTAGGGCAGATATTAGCTGATATCAATGCAAAACAAAAACATTTGACTGCATTACAAGATCACCTCAGATAAACACTGGGAGGGCTTTATAGAAAACCTGGAAAGCATCCTTTTTTCTATTTAAAAGAGTATTGAATCTTTAACAAGAATAAATAACTTCTATTTTTCGTTATACTAAAAAAACATATTGTAGGTATATTGTCTGAATCAATTTGTTTTCTATATATTCTTTTTTCGTGTTCATTTTTTTCATTTTGCAGAACTTCATACATCAAAGCTCCTCTGCTATATGAGCAGCGTTCAAAATCACTACTTTCCTGTATGGATCTTATAGATATAGTGTGAAACAATGTTGGAGCTGTAACACGGTGCAGGCACAGAGAGATGAGATGCTTTTAAAGACAGGTTTTTTTGGTCAGCCGTGATGCTTTCATTTACCGACCCAAGAATTCCTGTCCATAGCTGCAGTCTGATATATTTCTCCTCAAAATTATAAAGTGATTTTAGGTTGCTGTGACCAGCTTTAGGGCAGTTAGAAGTATCGAGATATGCCATGGTTCAAAGAGGTTATGGTTTCACAACTGCAGTAATCTTTAGCTGTACTATTTCTTCTGATTGAACTTGCCCAGAAGTGAGGTATTGGTTTAATGATCTGGTGTTGCCTTTATTAAAGATGATAAAACTGCTTCTCTACCATTGTACAGTGTTCTTTTTGCTTTTATGTGCTTTAGCATCTCAGTCATTAAAGATATGCATCATGGATGAACACTGAAAGTAGGGGTGAACTGTTCCACACTTTTTCGATTCTGATCTGATAATTGAGTTTGGACATCTGATAATCCAAATACTTTTCTCATACCAGAGCTCTGTTTGCTTTAATGTTTACATCAGTACTGATAATAAACTCTGTTCTACAAGCAAACATGATTTGTATCAATGTAGACATTTATAGATTAAAATGCAACCTGAGATTATCATGAGTTCAGAAAGAAACTCATAAGAACAGTAAATCATATTAACAGGACAAATTCCATCCAAAACAAATATGCAGCTGTTAGGGTTCAAATTGATTTATTAAATCAAAGAAACATGTCCATAAAGGGCTATTTTTTAATACTGGGTCTGTTATTGACAATGATATAGAAGCGCATCTCTAACTAAGGCCAAATATGCATTTTAAAAGACACCATACCTGACGCTAAGGCCAGATGATATGGCCAAAACTTATATAATGATATATTTATTAATTTCTGTTGATGCAAAACAATTTCCTTATCAATATAAACAAATCAAAAGCCTCAGATAGACTGTTAGAAATACCCACCACTGATGCCTAAATGTGTAACCCATGTTTATAAATTTACTTGAATATAACATTTTGGAAGAATTTGCTTTAAAAATCAAAACTACACAAAACTCAAAATGCTGTAATGATAGACTGTAATGTTTACTGAAATATGGTAACATTTGTATCACTATTGGATAAAATCTTATTGCAATATATATTGATTTTGAATTATTGTCCAACATTACCAGACACTTAGAAATCCACTGCTCAAACAAATAAAGGGAACACTCAAATAACACATCCTATATCTGAATGAAATAAATAGCCTCATTGAATACTTTGTTGTGAACCAAGTTGAATGTGCTGACAACAAAATCACACAAAAATCATTAATGGAAATCAAAAGTATTAGTCTATGGTGCAATGTGCTGTTAGTGAATGGATCGAGACATGATTTTCCAAGATGTGCTCAATTGGATTCAGGTCTGGGGAACGGGCGGGTCAGTTCATAGCTTCAATTCTTCAAGTTTGCAGGAACTACTGACACTCTAGACACATGAGGTCTGACATTGTACTGTAATAGGTGAAACCCAGGGCCAACTGCACCAGCGTATGGTCTCTCAGGGTCTGAGGATCTCATCTCGCAGGAAACACAGCCAAACCTTCTTGCCACAGCTCACATTAATGGGCTGCACTACCTGAACCACTTGTGTGGGTTGCAGAGTCCATCTCATGCTACTACGAGTGCAAAGGTATCTATACTTTACTCCATTACTTATTTTCCTCCTACTTCAACTCATTACATTTTCACACAAGTATCTGTACTTTATATTCCTTACATTTTTAAAACAACCATTACTCGTTACTCTTCGCTTCGATTTAATACAGAGGTCAGGGATTAGCGGACCGTGTTATGCAGAAAAGTGCTGCCGAGATATGCGTCCCCAGTCGCGGGAGCACGCCTCGCTTTGTACAACTGCGTATCAATGAGGAAAACGGATTAAAATATGACCAATGGAGCTACTTGTTATATTAATGATAAATGTATAATGTCTGAAAGGTCGGACACAGGCGAGAGCGTATCGGGAGATGGAGACGGAGACCAACAA